TTTTTATATATTTTTTTTTTTTTTTTTTTTTTTTTTTTTTTTTTTTAATATGATATTAATTTTTAACTTTTTTAATGTAATTATTTGAATGTTTTGATATTTCAATATGTATTTTTCCACCTTACCTGTTTTCCTATGTTGTCTTTATTTGTTGATTGTAAACAAACGTTTTCAGCCTTTGGCTGTTTTTTTGTTTGTGTTTTATACCTTAATAAATAAATAAATACGTACAACATACACTGTTTATCACATACAACTTGTATGTGATAAATGTCAGCATATGATGTTCATCACATACAACACACAATGTATATCACATCCTATGTGATTTTACTGTGTTTTTTGTTTCAGAATCGAAACTAGTAATTCCATACCATACTCCTAAGCCATTATCACTCAATGAGTTTTTCAGCAAAAAACCAAATCTTACTCAAATAAAAGCACCCCAAGCTCTTAGCAGGTCAGTGAATATTCAAATTTAAAAGAAAGTTTGTATTATTCATGTTTACAAAAATATGTTTTGTATATGAAGATGTATACAAGTCATTGCAATGCATATCCAGGGTACACAGGGCAAATTTTACCAAGTACAATGCCCCAGTATCAGAGGCTTCCCACTTGTTGGTGTAAGGAACTTTATTGCCGAGGTCCCAAGTCTCCCAGAAGTTGCAGGAGCCTCCCGGAAATCAGGATTGCCTCCTGCAATTCCACAAGCAAGCAAGAAACCCCAGAAAATGATCCATCTCCATGTTTTTACTGTTTTATTATCAATTGTCTCCAGATGTCAGTGCAAATGGGTATCAGTATGCACAGCAAAATAGGATTTAATATGTTAAGAAAACTCATTTAATCTGGAAGGGATATCTTCCAACCTGGGACCCCTGTTATTCAGGTTGTCACTCTCCATCCAGTAGTGTAAATTGGGTACCTGTGCTAGGTTAAGTAGTTCCATAACTGCAACATAGAAAGTTGAGTTTGTGTTCCTCCTGTAGTCTTACCTAGTGTTTGGGGTAATACAGTAATTTGAAATACATTCTTGTCTTGATAATACACACTACATAATGAAATGGGGATGTTATTAATAGTTGCAGCACTGGTTTTGTCACATTTTTAATTACATAATAATTAAACATTTTTTTCTACATTTTCTTTTCACAGAATTCTACAAAGCAGTACTATGAAGGAGAAACCGATTGAACAAGTTAGAAGTAAACACTTAATTCATAGAAGGGCTAAGACGACTTATGCAAATTCCAAGCTAAGTAAACACACCACTATGAAACCTGAAGATCCTAAGCTGAGCGAGCCTACCACTATGAAACCTGAAGGAAATTCTGAAAAATTAAATACAGATTCTGACATTAAAGACACAGTTGATGATAGTGATGAAGATCCAGATAAACTTGTGTTACGTTTGGACTCTCTATCAGACGATGAAGAAATGGACATGAAACTTGAAGAAACAGATATTAACCTCAGTGAGAAAATTGAAGAAACCTCAAATGAGGGAAAAAACGATGGACTGGAGCCTCCCTTACAGGCAGAATCTCAGGATTGGAGTTTAAGACTTGATACTCAATCTGTTCCGAACACATTGCCGGAACTGGAAAGTCCGGTCACAGAAGTGTTATGTACAGGAAGTACAATGGAATCCTCACTTACTGATACTCCTACTCAACAGAGCCAGGATTCTGAATCAGATACCACAGTTTCCAAAATGATGGACAGTTGTGAAGATGGTCAAGATTCTGCTCTAACAAATGATGTCATGGTAACACCAGTAAATAAATCATTACAATCTGAATCGTCAGGAAGTAATAAAAAACGATTGCTTGAAATGTTGAAAGGTTATGACACAATGGTACCAAAATTAGGAGGTAACAGGGATGCCATAATAAATTTTGATAGCGATGAAGTGCAGCCTTCTACTGGAGTTAACACATTAATGGAACGGTTTATTAAACATTCAACCAAAAAATATGTAACAAAGAAAAAACATGTCCAACTAGAGTAAGTATTTAAAATAATTTAATTTCTTTATTATCCAATAGCAAGTAGATCATCAGTTGAATGTGAAAAATAAACATATTTGCCTAGACACATGTACTTGAAAATATTTATTTATTTATTAAAAATTATTTGTTTTTAAATATATATTGAGCAGGAGTGTGACTAGAGATGACATTAACTGGTCATCTCTAAAACCCTGGCCAATGACAATGCAATAAATTATATAAAATTACATATAAAATATAAAGAGAAGAAAAAGATAAAATGTATTCATTCATATGATAAGAGTGGATTTTAAGGATGGAAAAGTGGGTAATAAGGGTGGGTGGAGGGCCATGAAATTAGCTTTAGGTGGAAAACTTCAATGCTGGGTGGCTTAACCCACCATAACTACATCCCTGCTTGCTCATATTGTTTCTTTACTTTTATTTTCAGAGTTGTTAAAAAAGAACTTAATTCAGAAGGAAAGGAGGAACTTGTACATGAGTTGGTACCAGTAACGTTAGGAGAGGATGAGCAGAAGGACCCAAAACTGGAAACACCAGGTAATCTTTATTTAATTTAAGTGCCTTGGAATTAAACATTAAACTGGAAACACCAGGTAATCTTTATTTAATTTAAGTGCCTTGGAATTAAACCTTAAACTGGAAACACCAGGTAATCTTTATTTAATTTAAGTGCCTTGGAATTAAACATTAAAACAATTGAATGTAGATTGAGCAGCCACATGCACTATCAATCCATGTAAAATCTAAGTCTGTTGCTTTGATGCACCTCTACTACTATTAACATATTATTGCGCTGCTGATAACTTTGAAACAATTTTCTCCCTTATAAGGTATAATGGTATATTATATATATATATATAAGGTAATTAAATTAAGGAAAATAATAGCTGACAAAGAGTGTATGAGATCCTTAGATGAATGTCCAAAAATACTTAGTTTAAGGAGTAGAATTAGTTTTAGGTCTAGATTATGGATTAGTTTCTTGGTTTGCTTTACTGAACATAATTCTCTCATTTGTTTTCAACAATGTAGATAACTGATAAGCTGCATTTTTTTTAAATACTGATACAGATAAACTTTATTTCATTCTTTTCATTGGGGATTAATGTACTTATCACCTTATTTTAGGAGCAAAGTTATTGAAACTGAAAGAAAATCTCCAAGTAAAGATGAAAGTACAACGTGAAATCGAAAGACAACGTCGTATAGATGCATATAGGATGGACAATGAGGAAGGATATGAAGAGAATGAGCACAAAGAAGATGAGCTGGGATTCAACGAGGAGGAAGAAGAGGCAGAACTTACAGACGGAAGTGAAACAGATGGTGATTACGAGCCAGATGAAGCTGTCGACAACGATTACGATGATGACGACGACGACGATTCTGAAACTGAAGAAAAGGTATTTTAATGTAATTACTTGTCTTGAGATATTTAAAAAATTTTAAGAAGAATAAATTTTAATATTTAACATTTATAGAGAGAAAAAAAATACCCAACTATAACTTTGTACCTTGTAGCTGTAACACCCACCAGGGATTATGACTGGAAGTTCGACGAGAGTGAAGTATTATTTTATTTAATTTAGTTTAAGGTTTTAATGTAAATTATTACTTACTTAGTTAAACCATAAGCACATGTGTTTATACTGAAAATGTAATAGTATATTGTGTTGCCATATTGCATTCGAAGTAATTATTCCTTAAGATTTTCCATGAAAGTGATGTTTTTCACTATTTGGAGTGAGCATATGGTTTGGTTCTTGATGTTTTCTTTTCTTGTTATGTATTGCTGTACTACCACCGGAATAAATAAATGAAATGAAGTAAATTAACTTATCTTATAATAAAACTTGTCATTGCTTATTTCAAATTTTTCATTTAAAGAACATATTTTTAGATGGGCAAGCCAAGGAGGATGACATGGAGGAACTGTCATCTGTTGAAATAAATAATAAAAAGCTTATAGTTAGCGAAACAAACAATGATGATGATAGTGATGATGAATTTGTCTTCAAAATTCGGAAAAAGAAGAAGCGGACAGTTGTTGAGGACGAAGATGAAGAAGACGAAGAAAAATGTGTTGAAACCCATAATAGTTGGAAAAATGGTATTGGTATGTGTTTAAATTTAATTGTAGTTTAATCAAATGATTCGGTTACAAACCATAAAGTGTCCTAAATGCTCAGCTTCCTAAACCTTCTAAACAAAGATGTATTAAGGGTAATGTAACTCCCCACTGTCCCATCCTTCTGAAGAGATGCCCCACCCTCCAAAGCTTCCTAACTAAATACACTTTGTTGTAGACTATCAAGAATCACTAAAGATAGTTTCCTAAACCGCATAAGCATACTTGTGTGAACAGGATGGATCAATCTGCTTGAATATGGTTTTGAATTTTTCGATATGTCACTTTCTGTTTTTAGTGTTGGACAAATCAAACCACCACGATGACACATCAACCATATCTTCATCTTCGGTGAAGTCGTTGTTTAAGAATCCTATTAGGTACTCAATGGCAGCTGATGGCAAGACAATGGATCTGTTTGATTCCAGTACTAACACCACAGATCGCAGTGAAGACACAGCTAACCTTAGTGTTCCCGATGGATGTAACACCTCAATAGGTGCTTTCAGCTTTACACCAATCAAGGAAAAGACAGGTTACAAATGTTTATTTTGATATTTAAAACCAGTCCAGCTGTTATCCCACAGGGCTCAGTTATGCTTAAGCTATGTCTTATTATGGGGCTTAGATACCGGAGCTGTGCTTTCATAATTCTCAGCCTGTAGCATCTCACTGCTCATCAGTCTTATCCAAAATAATACCATTGTGCTTTATATTGCTTTATATATAATTTTCAGAAATTTGAACAAGAACATATTTTTCAATTAATCAGATGCATAACTCATTTATGTATTTTTTACATAGAACCCTTAAACTGGTTGGTATGGTAATAAATTTAAGTCAAAATCAGTAAAAACTAAGATTATTTTTCCTATGTATTTTTGGATTCTAATTTATGAATTTGTTTTAATTGAATTTAAGAGGGTTTCCCAGATTTAACCACAAATTCTTTTTTTAATTCAGGCTTAATCAGACACAAATCAACTGACTTTGCCAACACACCCGATAGCGATGAAGACGAAGAATGCAAGGAAGACAATGATCATAGTAAGGAGGTTGACTCACGGAATTTCCCGATTCCTTCAGAGCGTAGTGTTAATCTTAACAGTAGCTTTGATAATTCGTCTGCTATACCACCATACCAGCCTACAAACAGTATCGACAAGTCATCTACTAATGCCAGCTCTCATGAATTTCAACCAAGAAGTCTACGCCAAAATGAGGTAGGTTATATAAAGATGTACAGTGGTAACATCTTTTCCATTCTGTAAAGTTGGATGCGAATGAAAATAAAATAATACAAATGTAGATAGATAGATGAATTATGCTTTATATCGTGAGTTGGATTGTTGTTGATAGTATATAATATATATGTGAGGGAAAATCTGGAACTATACATGATTCATTTATTTATTTTACTTAATTCTTCTTTACCCTGGGTAACTTGATCAGTGCGAAAGCATTATTATCCTCCAGCTCCCCCCCCCCCCAAAATACAATCAAATGACAAGTATCAAGAGAAAATTACAATAACAATCAAATACAGAATATGACAGGAAAACGATGTAAGTTGTTTAACTGTGGCAGCAGTGATGTAGGCTTTCAATGCAAACTGTATTTGATGTCTGTGGACACTCAGACACTGTTTTCATGCACTAATCGCTCCTCTGTGTACTAATTTTCTTCTAGTGTATAAAATTGACTAAAAATATTATTTGCTAGAGTTTATCGTTTTTTCTTTGTATTTATTTTAGTACCAAAAACTTATTATTTAACAATTTTATCTTATAATAAATCACCTAGTTAGCTATTATCATTCTAAAGTTTAGTAAATATGGAATGTGATTATTTTAAAAATATATGTTTCTTAAACTTTGTTCTGACTTCATGACTTCATTTTCATGTGTTTTGTAAATTGCCTGCAGACGGTCTGTAAAATGGGTGGTCTGACCTTGCCCATAGAGGACTCCCAGGATCTGTTTCAACAAGATTTTTCCTACCCACAAAGTGCTTCCTCGGCTGAAATTGGGAACAGCTCACAGAATTTACACTTGTCATTTGAGGATAACACTCAGACTCAATTCCTTGATGAAAATGGGTAAGATGATTTTATTATTTGCAAGGAGAAATTATTTTCCAAGAGAAACTTGGTTGGTTAATTACTTTAAACCCTTTCATCTTTCACACCCTTAACTGCGTATATGATGGATTAAAAAGTGCATTCTTCAAGCTTTGATTCTTAAACTTTAATCACAGACTAAAACCTATTACTTACCATTTTGCCAGGCAAAGCGAGTGATGATTATCCATGATCCATTGAATTAGTTACTTTATCATCATTGAGAGGAGCTAGATGATAATGATGATGATTAAGTTATGATTGTTTGGTATGATGATTATGACAGTGATAATTATGACAGTGATGATTATGACAGGGATGACTATGACAGTGATGATCATGACAGTGGGTAGTAATGGTCCAGATTATGTTGATGAAGATGATTTCAATTCTTTATAGGTTTCTGAAAGTGAAAACTCAACAAGCTTCATCTAAGAGTCATAAATTAATAATGCCCAAGGATGATGATGATGAGCATGCTGGCGACATGAATGAGCTGCTCGGACTTTGTTCGGGTCAGTTTACAGCAAGTAAGTCCATAATCAGCTAAGTGCAATATATATATTCCATGTACTCGTTCCCATGTACTCGTTCCCATGTACTCGTTCAAAAATCTCTTAAAGCCGGTTTTACACTAGGCGAATTTATTCGCGTGAATCGAAAGCGTTGGTTCATGCGCATTCACATTTCTATTGGAGTTTTTGCGAAGCGAAAAAATGCGCAACCATTCAGAGCTCAGGAAGCAAACCAACGTTTTGATTCCCGCGAATAAATTCGCCTAGTTTAAAACATGCTTTAGTTGGTATTAACTCTAATTGTTATATCTGTCTGTTACTAGTCTTAATTTGTCTATGTATTAAGAACTTGATTAAAATCTTGGAGGGAAAGAGGAGGTTTTCATCATCACTAATGCTGACATCCTTTCTAATAATAAATATATACAAACAAAAAGTGATGTTATTAGACAATATAAGTTATCTTATTACTTTGCTGCCTCTTTGTTAGCTCTCATTGTTTTATGCATGTTTTTTAATCTATTTTTACAGCCTTGCAGCCTAGTAAGCCCAGTAAAGGTGTATTTTCTCAGCTAGGGAACCAGGGTACTGGGACTCCAGAAATGGATGAACTGTTGCAGCTGTGTTCTGGAACATTCACTGGGTAGGTTCAATCAAATCATAATGTAAACAAACTTGCTGTGAAGAATGGCGATTCCCTAATAGCATTGCATAGTCAGGCCCCAACACTAAAGAAAGTGGTTGGCATTCCGATCTGCACAGGTCCGACTACCTTAGAACCAATGACCACACTTGTTAAACCGCTAAGACAGATTTGTAGACCAATTTCAATAATGATACTTATTTTTACTCATAGGAAAAATAAACATGAAGAGGTTGGTGATGATGTAAGCGAGTCTTCATTCCAAATGTTGTCGGATAATGAGAGCATCAAGAGTAAAGATGCAGATGGATTCAGTGACAACGAAGATGAAAAACATGACAAGAATGATAATGAAGAATTAGGAGGGATCAATGAGGATACTGACAATGAAGAACAACCAACAGCTAAAAAGTAAAGTTGTACATAAGCTTTATGAAATCATCATACAGTTCACTTTAAATTTTATCTTTTGCTCTATAAAGTTACATTATTGCTATTATTTTAAATTTTATACAATTTTGTTGTCTCTTGTTTACTTTTATGCAATGTTATACCAAACATATATTAAATAGACAAAAAGTGTTTAATTATGTGAACTTAAGGAACAAATAATATATATATAAAAAATGTAATCATTGTTTTTTTTTTTTTTAATGATTATTAGAATTTTTAAGAATAAATTCATTGAAGAGGAAGCGGAGCTGTCCGGTAGTGAGTTCGGCAGCGATGAGGAGTACGATGCAGAGGAATTTGGGGATCTCATCGCCGAAGAAATGATAAATGAAGACGTAGGAAATGAAGGCGATATCCATAATAAAATACAGAAAATGCACATGTGAGTAAAATGAGCAAGTAACTTAGATAATACCTTAAGTTTTACTTATAGAAAGTAAGGAACAATTTAATTTAATGTTTCTAGTAAACTATATACAGTATATTAGTAAAGTAGGCCTATGTAATTTTTGATTTTGGAACAATGTTGTTTTTACCTGCTGGATTTATAGGAAGCTGACAGATGATGAGGATGCTCGACGGCTGCGCCTATACAAGGAAGCTTTCCTGACAGATGGGGACCTGCATGACGGTTCAAAGGGGAGAACCAGACAGTTCAGGTGGCGCAATGTCGGTAGGGCTCCAATAAAATGTCTAGCATTTTATCTTTTTTAAGTTCTTTAAAATGCCAGTTTGTCAGAGCATTATTTGTCTTTTTTATTGGTATGCTCCTTAATATTATTATAGCTTATTTTTAGAGACTTCCTCCTCCAGCAGAAATTTCATAATGATATAATAATAAGTAAATAATTATTGAAGAATAATATTAGAATATATTACTACCACTTTATTGTGAAAAGAGAGAAAGTATAAACTAAGTGCACTCCTTTTGAATGAACTAAAGTAAAAACTTAATAGTATTTAAAATACTTTTGACTGATTGGTATTTATAGAAATATGTTTATCAAAGTATTAAATAATTTTTCTCTCTGAGATGATGATTCGTGGACGTCTGGCGCAAACAACAATTCAGATGATGAAGCCGAAGAGGTGGAGAATGAAAATGAACTTGAGTGGAGGAAACAAAGGCATGAACGAGAACAATGTATTAAAAGCCAGGATGTAAGAACCACTTTTAAGAAATTGGTATATGCACTTAAATTAATAGGAAGTGAATAATTTAGATTAAAAACTTGTTAAGTCACTTAAGTGAAACAATCGGTATAGTGGAGGTGGGTAGGCGCAAGATTATTCAAGATAAAAAGCACTTCAAATTGAATCATTTGTGGGGCATTAATTTTATTAGTGGTATATGAATATTCATTCATCATAGTTAAACAGTTATTTAAGTAAGTATGGATTATAGATGTCAAGTTGTTTGTGATTTTTTTTTTTTTCAGGAAGAAAACAAAATTCAAGATGAAGAGGATTGTTTAGATTTAGATGAGAACAGTCAATTTGACAAGTTTATCAAGAAAGTTTCTGTAAAAAGAAGAAAGAAAAGTATGAATTTATTTTCAGTTAAAAATCTAAATCATTGAAAAATATTAGATATATGAGTGATATTAAGGTATTTTAAAAATTTATTTATTGATCTATCATTTTATAAGTGTATTCTTATACTTCTTAGGTACTGTGACAGTCCCAGAAACCAACAACACAGCTGCTAGAAAGACTCCAACTAAACCAAAAATGACATTGGTAAAATAGTACAGTATTGCATTTATTTTGCATTAGTGTAAAGGACATGCCTCTCAGTTTGCTGTAAAACTCTTAAAAGGGATGGGTGGTGATACAATGTTACCTTTAAAAAGGAAATAAAAAAATGAAATGTAGTTGCGTGATTCATCAATGCTAGCAGAGTTTGAGCTCTGTTGTCTGCCCTTTGAGGCACTTTGCTCAGCTAATAGTCTCAGTGGGGTGCCTAGGCTGTGCGCAGTATGAGAGTTAGGGTGGGGGTGCACTCTCCCTTATTGAAAATGCTTGAAGCAAAAAAATTCTGTTCAAGGAGTTAAAATCATGTCAAATCACCTTATCTTGCGAGCTAGCTCCCCCCCTCACCTAATCATCTAGACATTTCACCTTCAGGCCCCCATCAGTGCCTCCCCCGATGGCATTATTTTTTATTCATGTTTTTCTCACAGAGCAACATCAGAATTCACAAATTGTATGTAAAATGGTTTTTGTTTTTTTACAGTTCAAGCATGGATCTTTCCTGAACAGAGCAAAGAATGACCTTGAACGTATCACAAACATGTTCAAACCACTGAGTAATCCCAACAGGCCTAGAAATGCTCGAAACTTTGTATTCCAGTCTCTGTCACCTCAGAAGGCAGATGACACAGAGAGTGAATCACAGGTATAGCTAATCACCATGATTGGTTCATGTAATGTAGTGGAGTTTGTATACCTGATAGAGATACACTTTATTTGTCATCCACATTGTGATTTAGATGCAGTTTCCATGACAGCTAAAGATCAGTGCAATGTCTAGTATAAACTACTGTGGGCTAGTATAGTAAACCTACCTAATTACTGTACTAGCCCGCTGGGCAAGTGATCAGTTATATACTATTGCTTCAAGTATACTTAACCAAGAAAATAGTGTCACTTATGTAAAATGTAGCCAATGAGCTAGTGAAATGTACAGTAAACTAGCCCAGTGGGCTAGTCACCAAAAGAAAGTTAAATCTAGCCCTGCGGTGGTAATAAAGAAGATAGAAAATAAAAATATGTAACCACATTTGCTTTTCCATTTTATATATTTTCTTGTATACATTGTTGCATATAGCAGTCTGTATGCATTGAAAGAACGGTTTCTTTAAAAGTTTTGTTGGCTATCAGTAAACACCATTTTTATTGTTACATTGAGAATCTTTTAGATATTAGGATAATTTGCATGGTGTATTGAAAAATATTATCTGCATTTATACATAATGTGTTAATAGTTTTGATTTGATTGAATTTAATGGCCACTAAGCCAGATCATTATAATTAGTCTGGTTTTTTTTCCCAGCAGATGAAACGACCCCTTAGCAATGTGGATAAGGCAACTCCGAATCTACCTAAGAATAAGAAAGCAAGATTAAACACGAGCCAACCTAAGCAGGCAAAGAGCATCTTCCAGCTTCTATGAACCTATATTAACAGTCAGGAATACTTAATGTAGAGAATAAATAGTGATCATCTAGATCACTTTTAAACAAATAAATTTATATTTGCAAGTTTGTCGGTTGAAGTAGCAATACAGAGTGGCGAGTAGTAGTTTTAGAGTGGGTGTGTTTGGAAAGATTTAGTATTAAGTATCTACATGATCATATGGACTCTACACTGCCATAAAGTATAACATTGATAGTGTGTGATGGTTGTACATTATTAATGTTTATCAAAGTAAACCATCCAGATACCTATTTATTATCATATTATATATTATATTATAGTAACTGTTGCTCTCATATTATAATTATTAAGCCATAAACACTTATTATATTGCTCAAGCACAGCGACAACTAAAAATCAGGGCTGGTCGAATGGCGATTGTTTTTCATAATCTAATTGACAAAGAACTACTGTATGCCCATATACTGTATAGTCATAATATGACCATATTTAGGCATGTCACATGCTTTTGTCATGAAATTGGGTAATCAACCATCACTTTGATTGGTTAAATGGTGATCACATGGCTAAAATCCATGTTTAAGGTATCAAGTTTATTGAAGCTGGAAAATTGGTAGAGACAAGTATTTTGGGCTCCTACCTTGATAAGAACTGTATCTTTACTGAATATAATAACCGTGAGCATGTATTTCAGAATTTAACACTTTTTTGTATTATTCTTGGAAATGTGACTTTTGTGTATCAAAATTTTAAAATAAATATTCCATATTATATTAAAATTTTATAGAGTTCCATTGTGAATCCTTATTAATTCTATGTTAGTGTAGGTGGTGCAGGAGCATAGGATTTGCATCTTTCATAAATGCACCTAAAAATAGAAATATCAGTCGTAAGCAAAGATCTTATAAACACAAGATATAGTTCTCTGTAATAACGCATGAACGGTGCTCTCTTGCAAAATTGAAAACTTTTGAACCTTGACAATAGCGTATGCCACGCGACTTTACGTTTACGCATAACAATTAGCGTCCGATTTACAATGCACCCTCCCTTTAGAACATAAGGAACAAATTAACGTACTAGGTACGAATTCATTACAGCAACGAATTTGTATACCTAACAAAACACAAAATGACAACAAGTAGGCATTGTTGTTTATTTGATTACTAAATAAAATATAATTAATCATATTCTGACATTAAAATGTTTTAGAACCAAATTATATGCATATCTATTTCATCAAATGATTTAACACTAGATATACACTAATTAATAATTGTTATTGAACATCCAATTTTGGCAGATTTTGATAGACTTCATATTAAGCATTGCCCACACTAACCTATATGTGACAATTGATAGAGGTAGGAGAATAACCCAACTTGCAGCGTCATTGTGCTGAATTGCGTATGGGCGTGGTCCGTGACTACCTAGCAGCCGTAAAGAGGCGCTTCTTGGTAGATACATGTTCACATCATTTCACAACGACAGGGGCTGAAATGAACCATAACATCGGGGTAACCCCCTACTCTTCCGAAAGATGCAATGGGTTCTTTAAAGTGCACACGAGCCAATGTTATACACTGGACCTCCATTTTAATTCCTTATCCGAGAAGACTCGGTTCTACCAACCGGCGACCCTGCCTTACTGCTTGGCCACTAGACTCGCCGATATGCCAATATTTTGTTGTAATACATCATCAAATTTGACAGCGTGAACAGAGCAGTGGTGGTGCCAGTGGGCTGCATTTGCCATCCCGTCGGACAGGCACTGACCCCCTGCTGTCCTGTTTTTCCCGATCAGAAAAGTCTGATGCAAATACAGTGCAACTTGATTAAGCCATCCTAAGCATGTACAACTACCAAGTGCTGACCGAGCGCAATTATATTATATTGACCATGCATGTGCAATGTCCTACATACACCCATGAGCACTGTAAAAACTATTAGGTATTTAAAGTTGCACTTAGTTTGGTCACAAACAATCCAACGTAAATACACAGTTAATTCCTTTTTTTTTTAAACTGATTTTAACAACAGTACTGTATAAATAAAATGTTGGGGTCATAAAAAAAATCATACTCTGGAACAATACTCAAAACTGTAGAATTAAATGAACAGGGAGCATTTGTCCAACAACTCAGAATTACACTAGTTAAATCATACAATGTACAGTACTGCATACAAAGCAACAGAATTAAATTTTGTAATGATATTAAATCCACGTACGAACGCCGTACAATTTGAATACGATAAAGTTACTTTACACTCATCAAATTCTCTGGCACAGTACCGACAACTGAACAGGGAGCATTTGTTCAACAACTCAATTAAATCATACAATGTATACAAATCAACACAATTAAATTTTGTAATGATATGATTACAAAAATTGTTAAAAAGAATACCATTCAATATAGAATGTACAAATAGTACTATTTATGCATCAGTTAATTAGTAAACTTAAATACACAAATTCATATGCAAATTTTATTGTTCTATTTATTAGCTCTTTATGAACAACTTCTGAGCAAAACTCAATGACCCTAGGTGATATTTGTGACCTGCTAATCAGAATTAAACAAACTGTTGCAACAAAATAGTGACCATTTACGGGAAATTACATTGCAATATGACTTTCAACTGTGAAGGGACTATCATGTAGTAGGGTGTCCAGTGGCGTATCTAGAAGTCTTGAAATGGGGGTGTTGATGGGGGGGGGGAGTGCAACGGTGTAGTGGGAAGCTCAATGATCAGTTGTGATTTTTAACTAACTTGCAAGTAATTTTTTTTTGGGGGGGGGGTGACAGTAATTTTAGGAGAGGCGTGCATCCCCTAGATACGCCACTGTGGGGGTTATGGGGAAAGAATTTGTTTAGGTCAGTTAAAATTGTGCTTTCTACCAAAGTACAAGAATCTCATTTACATTTAGTAAAGTTAAACTTGCCTAAGTCAACTTTGCTTAACTCAAACACTGTATTATCTTATTTTACATGCCAAATGTGTTTTCCATTAATTAACGATTTGTAAGTCAAATTTTATCTAGGTCGAAAGGTTTTTCAATGCCAATTTGGATTCAAAATTAGGCAAGTTCAACTGTAATTGGAAGTAGCATATAGTAGCAAGTGGTCACCCAAAACATTACATAATTACAAAACATTTGTTATATTAGCATCCGTATAATAATCATTCTTGTTTATAATAATGAATCAAAATGTCAATAATTGTCAATAGATCAGTTATAAACAAAAGTATGATATTAAAAATACTGTAATAGTAATAATAATTTATCAATATTCTTGCATTACTTTAGCAATAATTAATACCCATTTTTGACTTTACAAAACTTCATAAAAAGATGAAGATACAGTATGTGTATTACATAACAAGTGTTCAATGTTGTTGACTTTCTCTGTTGTGTTGCAGTAAAGTTGCATCATACCATACCGTAATAATCAGGCTTCTTTGCAGCTGGTTGACATTAGTGTTCTCTGTTTTGTTGCAGTGAGATTGCCTCATAGTAATCTAGGCTTCTTTCCAACTGGTCCATTTTTTATTTGGTAATCTGTTGAAAACAACATTGTTTTTGAGCCAATATTTTTAATATGTATTGTAATGCTGTATATGAAGATTAAGGCAATATTGTAGGCCTAACTCATGAACAAAGTGAACAACTTTACAGGGAATGTGCTGGTGGTTATCTATGTATACAGTATTACAAGAAAATGCTAACATCCCAAAGTGTACACATCTGACTAAAAGATTGCTAAAAATTGGCCACACCCCTTCCCTCAATTTTCAAATCCTGGCCAATAAAATCAAGTGCACAAATTAAAAAGTATTACCTAATGGTATTCCCTGTGTCAGTACATCTCTTGGCAACTTAAACGTCACACACATCATTTCCTTGTTGGGTGCTACATCCCGTACATCATGCACAACTGCCGTATCTACTTTGTGTTTTAGAATCGCTGATGTCCTCTGTAGAACGTCCATCCCAGCATTCACTTCTTTGGAGAAGCAGTGACAATGAACAGTTGGCAAGGGCAATTGACTTTGCACCATGTCTGATACATCGCTAACAAGTCCTCGATACGCATCCAAAAATTCAAGAGCAGACGAAGGAAGATTCATCACGATGTGAACATTACGCTCGCGTTCATACTCCGGCTTGGTTTTGGTTGCCATTGCAACTAGTTCTTCTTTAACGACCTTCCTGATAAATTCTCTGCCATCCATTGTGAATGTGGTTAAACGTTTCTCGACTTTGTTGAGCTTACTGTTGTGCACCAGCCATCGGTATGATTCTGGGTTTAAATCGTTAGCAAAGATAATACCACCTTTCTTCGCCATGGGGATCGCAAATGGCCCAACGCCTGCAAAAATATCAAACACAACATCACCACGGTCTACAAGCTTTGTGATTCGAGCATGCTCAGTAGCAAGCCTGGGATTCCAGTATACTTTGGAGAAGTCAAATTCAAACTGACAATGATGTTCCTTGACGGAAGCAATCATGTTTGATTCACCGGTGAGAATCTCCATTTTAAAGAACCTGAACTCATTGTTGATCTCACTCAGCTTGTTCACAACAGTTGTTATTCCAGGTGTTTTGTCAATGAGTACTTGACCTGTTGGATGTAAGATGTAGAAAGTTAATTCATTAATAATAAAAACTATCTCATTGTACAAGGTGCACGTTTCAATAAAATGCATCATTGTGTTTACACTATTTACCTGGTCATTGGACAAAACACCTATGCATGGGCGGATGCACTGCTCTCTCCCCACCCCCTGTCTCTTATACACATCTTTAAACTTGCCTAATACTAAAAATGACCAATGTTTTCACTGGAATAGGGTTTAGTTCTGAATTCTCACTTTTCAAAAACCAATGCCCAGCTACCTGGGGAGCAATCATTCCATGAACAGCTAGATCAATACTTGGTATTAGATCCTACCAGGTATCTACTTCTGGGTGGAAAAATATGACGCAGATATAGTCTTGTTGACACATGCTGAATACACAAGACAATCAGATTTCATATTTTTATATTGTTAATTTTATATTATTTATACAATTTATGTATATGGAACCTTTGTAGGTTTTTATATTATTTATAATTTATAAGTTGCATTAACTTAAAAGATTCAATTAAAAAACCTCAAAAACTCATCACCTATAATATGCTTGTATTTGTCATGTTCGGGCTTTAGGTTCATATGGGCAATGTGACCTATTCTACTAAAACTTGTTGCCACGACGACATCTGCAGGTAGAATGGCTTGAATTACTTCATCGTACGTCCAGTTCCAATATGACAACTCCAGCTCATACTTGTAAATTTTCTCTTCCACTTCATTTTCTTTGATAAAAGCACGCTCTTCGGGAGTCATGCACTTTAGCTCTTTAATCTTTTCGGGGTCAAGCATCACAAACTTGTTTTCGCTGTCGTCGGGGATATCGCGAATGGCGCTTAACTGTTTTCTGTAGAACTTCCGTTGCTTATAAACTTTCATGCACTGTTGTATAAGCTTCTTGTTGACCTTGATTGATGGCACTTGTATAGTTTTTTTAAATGCATCTCGATTCAGCTCCGTCATACCTGCCAGATTTGGTGCAGTTAGTGGACAAGACGTTGTCAATCCTCGCTTTGAGTGTGCCATGGTTGTTTTACAAGGACCACGGACAAATCCTAAACCTCTCAATCTTTTGTTAACATTCAGTTTGGCTGGAGTGAAGGTTGACACACACACCAATGGTTGAACAAACTGTATCCACTTGTGCACCACAATCATGTGATAATCTGAATAAAAAACCCAATATTATCATTAGCAAAAAAAAAAAAAAATGGTCACCCATCATATTCATATGTTGTAATATTTATTTTCTGCTCTACTTGGGACAAAAACAAAAAGGGCAACTGCAAGTACTTGATCTCTTTGATAAGGGCCTACATTGGACAAGAATAAAAAAGGGAACCGAACTACCAAAAACTTTGAATGGTTTGAATCACCCCAGTCATGGGAACATACATTCCAACCTCCTCGGTCTTCAGTCAGAGACCTAGCCTAGCCTGCCTAGGCCTTCATCTCAATCATTGACATATCCAGGCCTGCTGAAGTTTAGATTAGTAGTAGCATACTGATCACAATAATAATGTTAAATAAATGCTACGTAGCTAACGGATAAACCTACTTAGAACTCAAAAATAGTTCTTGTGATGCAATACCTTTGAAATTCAATCAATAAAACTACCCTCCTCCAAGCCTGGTAAACATACTCACGTTTTTTAACTACAGTTGCTAGTACCACAGCATGCACAGCGCATAGAGCTGCTTAGGTTCGACGATTTATAATGGAGGGTAGAGTAGTGGTACAATTTGCCTTTGGTATCTCACATTATACGTAAATATATGTTGATAATATATAAATTCACCTAATACACAATACACAAATTAATAAGTTTTGAACTACAACTTTTATAATAATTTAAATTATATAATGACACACCATTATTAGAATTTATATACCCCTTAACATTAATGGATACCTCTTGAGAGAGTTCGACCAAAGTTCGTCGCTCACATATCACGAACTAAGTAGATAGGCCTACTCTACATTCGCGCTAAACAGACTATTATTCTATTTTCTCTATGCTATTATCAATCATACACCCTGAAAGACAACAATGAAAAGAAAAATATTGGAGTAGGCCTATGTAGGGGGTGGGTGTGACCAACATTTTATTAGTAATTATGATTTTCTATAAAAGTGCATAGGTCTACAAAGTAGGACTACATAGGTCTACAAGGTGGTCCTACCAAAGTAGGACCATGGGTTTAGGTCTATCAATTAAAACTGTTACACTGAAACGTCCGTTTTTCAATGTTGTATAATAGATATAGGATCTCTTTTGTTTATGACTTCATTTTCATTATTAATCACAACGTTATCAGATATAAGTCATTGTATCAAAGAACAATCCTCTTCTCCAATATTAATTACATTCATTAATTTGTAATATTCTTCTCCCAATAATCTGTTTCTTACAGGTATTCCTAACTTGTTTTAGCTTTATACACTACGCATTTATTTAGTTTTGTCTGTTTAATATATTTTCTATATGTTCGTTTATTCGAGGGAGCGTGTCGAGGGAGGCGTTTATTCATTCATTTTTTTTGCGGTTAATGGATACGGTACCGTATAGGCCTACTTAAAAATAAACGACCATTAATTTCATTTTGAATTAAAAATAACATTTTATTTTTGGCTAATAATTAGTACACACGCCACGAAAAAAGTTTTTGAATTTTTATTACGCCCACCGCTGCCTTGAAATCTCAAAAAATAAAGATAGGCCCTATATATATTTCTTCCTAACTAACTTAACTAAAGCATTTAACCATTCCATTGTAAAAAAATAAGTTCGCAAAACGAGGATGAAGTCTCGCCGATTAACTATGAACTGTTTTCAGCATGATTTTCACGAATTGCGATAGCGATAGGCCTTTGTTATGACTTTTGAGGGCGTTCGTGAAGAATAGCGATGGTTGTGATTTGCTGTTAAAATTTTGGAGTACTTCTGTCAGTGGAGGTGAATAATTCTGTTATTTTTTGCCATGACTTCTAAATCGTTGTAGATAAAGTGCTATTATTATTTCTCTATATACATTCGCTTCACTATTTATTAAAATGAAAGTTTCTTTGGTGTTGGGCTTCGTATGCGTTACGCTGTTTTTACAAATTCGATTCTGTTCAGCTGCTCGTAAGGGTTCCGGATCATCTCCGCCTGGTAGGCCTAGACCAAGGCCTAGTAGTATTAGTAACAGGCGTCCTAATGTAGACCTAGGCGTATGTCAGGCCCAAGGTCGAGGAATCAGGACATTGCAGAATAAAATCATTCGTACTAAAGATTCAATCGACAATGGAGCATGTTTCGCCAATGCCATAGTTGTCGGCTCGATAGACGAATGTTCCGCCAGATGTTGTAGTTTTTCTGGAGATGACTGTGATGGAAAATGCGACACAAGTATTTTCGTCCATGAGACAGATGACGACAACAGTGAAGATGTTAATTGTTTTCTTTTCGTCTGTGGTGATGGTCAGGATTGCAAATTTTCCTACCATAGTGGATACACTACAACAATGATTTTGAGACACCAAGAGAGAACAGAACCACCTTCCACCACCGTCAGCGTTAAGAAGACAACAACTGCTCCTATTATACACACAACACATTCTGCTAGGTCCACCACCACTGCAACATGGGATTTGCCAACCACCACGAAGCAAGAAATTCATAGGCTTAGTCCCAGCCCCAGTCAAGTTTTACCCATTGATGAAAATTATGAAGAAAAAGAAGATGAAAATTCTTATAACCATAATTCACATGGTAAGAACATTGATTGCTTATTGATTGATTATCACTATAACTGTTGATTGATAATTCAAGATATATTACGTATATAATTACGTACTATAATTCATTTCATGAAAAAAGAAAATTTGTCACACTATTCAGTATAAAAGAAATGACAGCACTTTTGAGACTAACAATATAGGATTTATTCACTAGCTTTTGTCTTCACAGTGGACTTCTGTCATTAGGAGACTGTACAAGTGTACACTCTCCTGATGAACTGTGTGGACTAAAGCTAGAGAATAAATTCTATATTGTTAGTCTCAAAAGTGCTGCTGTCATTTATATTGTTCTACTTTTATTCATCACACTACAGACAGTAATTGCACAGTAGAAATAGGCTATTAAAAAAAGGCACTTATCTATTGATTCATGCCATAAATGCTCAAATAATTTATAAACACCTTTCTTGAATAAGCACCACCTCTCAAATTTGGCACCTTAACATTTTTTGGGCTATGAGCTGCTTTTGAAGTAGTTTTTGAAAAACATGTGATTTGACATTGAATGACCCATAAGAGTACTGAACAATACTGTACAGTGCCAATTTCTGAATAAAATTCTTTACAGCACTCTATTTATAGTACATGACTTTATCTACTTTCCTTCATTCTTCATGAATATATATATATTTTAAATTAATATTTATAATTTTATGAAAGTATGAATAAAGAAAGACAGCCTTATTGCCTGTCGATTTGAAACCTATACAGTAACCATTGTGTTTCACTTAACGGCCAAAATGACCATGAGTAAAATGACCCTGACCTAATTTAAAGAGCTAAAAACTTGCTGAATTTCATGTGAAACATAAATACCGTACATTAATAATATAATAAAAATTAGAGAAGTTTGTCCCTGTCTGAATTTGGCTCAAGAACTTTAAATGCTAACATTCATTTGTTGATGGTAAATTAAAAACCAACTGTGCTACCATCATGTACAGTGTGAGCCATGTTTTTTTTTCCCCATTTCATTTCTTTAGGCACTAGCGCCAAGGATATGCCAATAAGTGAACTTAATCACTGTACTACGTGGCATATCCATTTAACAACAGGGAACTTAATAGAACAGTACAACGGGGTAACCCCCTAAAATTCATGTTGATATAGTACATCTCAAGTTGTGTCCGTTGACCGGTTTGTCTCATGCATAATATGATATTAATTCTTTGTTAATTTGTTCTGTAGATTGTGGACGTTATCGTTTCAAATGTGGTAGCGGTGAATGTTTTAAATTTTCTTACATCTGTAATGGCATCATAGATTGCAGGGACAACTCTGATGAAACTGGTTGTGACTACAGTAAGTAAACACTTAGAAACAACACTTGATACAGTATTTACATGTTACAGTAAGTAAACACTTAGAAACAACACTTGATATTTACATGTTACAGTAAGTACAGATCCAAAGCTTTATGTATATTTTGACAGGCTATAAGTTTTATCCTAGCTTTTATTAAAGTGACAACTTCTCTACATCATCATAGAAGAAAATATGCCTCTTGGATTGTAACATAAAGAGTCATAAATAAAAATTAATTATTGTGATTATTATCTGACTTCTTATTTTATAAGTCATGTAATAACCATAAACATTAATTAACAAAATTTGATTAAATTTCACTCCAAAATCCTAATCCACTTACAGATGTGAAGGAGAGACAATATTTTTTTTTTCAACTTTTCTGATGGCAGTCTACAGCAAGCAAAATGCATACAGTAATAGTACCGTGCAATTTCAACTTTAAAATCACAAAAACAAAACAAAATAATAATGATATTGATAAGAATTCTTCAATTCATGTGGAAGTGTTTACCTATTGTAAAAAGTAGGCCTGATGTTACCACCGTCAATAAGAAAAGAAGTGGCCACAATATTTACAGTATCTTATTTATAAGCCATGAAATACTGTAGTAGGTACCTGTAGAGCTGAAACATTAAAAAAAAAAAATCGTTTGGAAGTTAAATGTTTGTCTATGATGTTTCTCTGTGTTCATGATATTTTTACAATTTTTTTCCTTTCTGACAAAACAGCTTCAACTGTTGCACCTCTTATTTCTACTGCTCCTGCACATGACTCACAGGTTTGGCCTACTCGCCTGTACCCTGCTAGCACTAAAGCTAGATCTCAGCAAGTTCCAGACATGAGGACTAACTCTGCTTCTGCAGGCCAAACCTTTTCAATGGCAGGTTTTTCCTCACCAGAGGCAGCATTAGGAAGTAAGAAAGACTTTCTTTCTAAGCATGTTGTTGCGGAAGAGAGTAGGGAAGATAGGGAGAGGGTTGCTAGTGGGAGGTTGTCAGATAACCAAATAGGGTATAGGGTACATCCTGCTGACGGAGGTCTGACCCAAGAGCTACATAGTAAGGGCCAGGAAAGAATGAATGAGCCAGATGAAATCCAGGGGGGTGACCTGAGCTTGACAGATCTCCAAGATGATTTGAATGCCCTGTCAGCCACGGGGAGTAATAAGGGTGGTAATCCTGATGACCATGACAATGAAAACAAATACACTGGTAGAAAAGGGGGAACTTCTAACCTTAAGATAGAAGACCAGAATAGGTCAGGAGAATATACAAATGATAGAAATGAAGATTATGATAGCAATGGTGGTGAAATGTGGGTTTATAATGATGATGGAGATAAAGAGAGTCAGCAGTTAGATCAAGATTTCTATGGCACTAAATTTGAGGAGGATCATGATGAAAATCGGAAAGATGAAGACTCCTTGAAAGAAATTGGTAGAGAGAAAGAAGAGAAAAATATGTTAGATTTGGATTACGATACATATGATACATCAGGAGTTGTTGATACAGGAAAGCACAATGGATATGGACGATTACCGAATGATGGTTACAAGAAAGAAGGAGTTCCTGATTCCACAAGGGAGAATTTAAATTCCATGCAACATGAGAAGCAGGATGATCCTATGAGTAGTAGACCTGTTTACGAAGCTGTAGGACGCAAACTAGACAACGTTCAACATTTACCACATACTCGCAAAAATGACCACCAAACTCAATTCAAGAATGCGAAGATTGAGATGAATCACCAAATGAAATCACCTGATCACACAGTCAATGGTAGATTGGAGAGTACACAGAGAAGTGACAAAGGAGCGCATGCTGAATTGAGTCCACCCATATGGCAGGGTAGAAGGAAAGGTGGTTGGGATGATAGATCATTTACAAGTGAAAGTAGCGATGCTGATGATACTCACGATACTGATAAAGGCTTGATACGGGATAAAGGAGACAGGTGGTTGCAACAAGGCCCAAAGACTGGTGAAAAAGAAGGCGGCACATATGGTGCAGAATACTTCAACAGGGACCATGACAGTGGTTGGCCTGACAAACATGTAGTTTCACGTAATAGGAATTTAGGTTGGCCAGAGAACATTCATGAGGAAAGGCAAAGAAACAAGATGAAGGATGGACATGTTCTTCCAAACAGACTTAAGACTACTAGTGAGGCTGAATATGAACCAGATCTGGACATTACATCACAGAAATTTGTCAGTAAATGGCAAGATAGACAAAGGAGACCTGATCTACCTCCAAACCAAGTATACTTACCTAAGTACAACCGACAAAAGGAACCAAACTGGTACAATAATCCTGACAGAAAGCAAGAATACAGGGATTATGAGGACCTTGGACGTGGCGAGAATGCACATCAATTTTGGAACCAGTATAAAAACCAACAGATTCAACATCATAGGCCTAATGGTAACAATGCAGGTATTATATATCGATGTTTATTAAATCATCGTTGTTTTATCTGGTTGTAGCAGTATTTGCACAAAATATGTGTGGCAGCATGTTTGTTGCCTGTGGATTGGTAAGGTCCTCAGGTTGTGCTTTAAAGCAAGTCAGTAGTTTACCCTTGTCACACTAAACATCCTATCAGCCTTTTTTTCTCTTTTAATGAAACACATTGTCTTTAAAAGTATGTATTTTTTTTGTTAATATCCAATAGCAATTCAGTCTCAGTTGAGTCAGTAAAATATCCATAAATCAACACCAACTACAAAGCAAGTAACTCACTAATTACAGGCTGGAATGTTGCTTTATAATCTAAGTCTCCTTTACAAGGTTTAGGGAGTCAAGTTCTCAGTCATGAGAAAAAAAAAACGACTCTACTGTGACAGGATTTGAACCCAGGAATAGGGATTGGAAGAAAAGTACAGTATGTGTGTGCGGTGGACCATAAGCAATCTATTGGTTATACAAGAACACAGTACACTCATTCAAAAAGGGGCAAAGGATTGCATTCCGTATCCAATGTTCTGGAATAGTTACCCAATAAGAAATCATTGAATTACTTTCAATGTTTGTACAGTACAATGTAAAGAGACAACTACCTGTACACTTGGTATATCAAACAATCAGTTGGTTGTGTTTTGTGACAGAAATCATCCTTCCCAGTGTGTAACTGTATTGAAATGAGTGTGTATTGTTCCGTGTCGGTAATTTAATTGTTGCCTTTACTGTTTCTATTCTGTTGTTTTTTCTCGCATTTTATCATAATGTACAGTAGCCTTCACCATGTATTGCCTTTCAAGTAAATATTGTGAATTGTGTTTACAGAAGTTGTTTCTCAGATGTTACTTGCTGTCACTGCTAAATCGTATTCTAGTATCGTGTGTCAAATGTATGTTTGAATTTGTATTGGATGGAAATTGTATTTTTAGCATGTCTTATCAATGAATTAATCAATGTGCATGTTATATTTTTGGTATTTGATCATTTTTAAGAAGAATTGACATGGTATGTTATTGACGCTTGGTTGTGCACTAATCAGTCAATTATTTTTAGAATTTGTCAACATGTCAAGTGGTAATTTAGTTTGTGAAGCTCTGTCCAGACTATCTATTTTAATAGACAAACAACTGCTGTATGTCCATATATAGTCATGATATGCCTATATATGGTATCATGTGATGTCATCATGACCATATTTAGACATTTCACATGTTTTTGTCAAATAAAATTTGATAGTCTGGACAGGGCTTTAGAAAAATCATTTAAAACCAAAAGACTGATTGGATCTTGGAATGTGTTGAAAATGATATGTGTTGTTGTTTGCATGTACTGTATTTTGTTTTTGCATGTGGATATATGTTTGTATACTGTTTTTCTCATTATCTACTACTATGCATGCAGTGGTCTGTGTTCCACAATAGTAATATGTGATGCCTTCTTGATGCCTGAATGATCTATGGACATAACACGTACTGTAAACCAGTACTTTCATTATAATATTTTTTTAAAATTTTGATTACTGAAAATGGTAGAATTTTTGGTTGTTATTATTTTATTTAACTCAATGGTGGATTTTTTAAAAACTTAAAAATTAAAAAAAATTAAATTATCTTATAAATATAAACAAATGAGCATATATGAACATTTATTTAATTATAATATCGAATTTCATTCATTTTTATTTAAGCCAAAAAATAATGATAATAATAATAATAATAATTTTTTTTTATTATTGTGTCTAATATAACGAGTAATAAATGAACATGAATTAGATCATTATGTCATGGTAATGACTTTATACTACCAGTAGGTTGTCCTTGTATTTTTATCACCAGGTGTGGTTTTCATCATAATGTTAGTGACCTTCTGGTTTAAGTTCTTGAAAAAAAAAATTATGTATTAGTTTGAAAAAGAACACTCATTTGTTTTTGATGGTTAACTCACTTTTTCTAACTGTAGGCTCATCTCAAGATTACAGTGCAAATGAATATGATACTGCAGACTCAATTGATGAAGACATGAATGATATAACCACCACAGAACCTCCCAATCATGATCATCAATGTAAAGATGAGTTTTTAATGTTTATTATTGTTTTGTCATTGACAATGAATAAAAATAAGACAGTAGAACCTCAATTTTATGTACGGTGGGACCGGAGGGTGTACGTAAATCAGAGGATTCGTAAAATCAACGTTGGGTTAATAAACTCAATAAACGTACTGTATGTTATGAACGAATGATGTTATCTAGGCCTACAACATACAACTATGTCTATGAATACTTCATGGCTATTCTAATCAACAGAGCTGTTGATTAGAATTGCGAGTTGCCTACCCAGCTTAGTAAACTTTGCGTAGAAAATTCGATCAGATGAGTTTTTCACACGCAGCTAAGTAGGAAAGAAATTATTTTGTGCACCGACGGTAGTTGTTCATTTTGCTTGCTCACTCATGGTTTTAGATTATAACTGCGCGTTAATTAGACACAATCAACATTGTTGTTGTTGACTACAAATACTTTGCATATTGTTTATTTATTGTTACAGTGAAATAACAGACAGACAGAACTAACAAATCTCTTTTTTACATTATGGTGGCCCTGAAAAGGGCCACTATAACGTTGTTTTGGGTATTTTGGAGTTTTTATGATGTCATCGTCCTTACGAGGTGTACGTATGACAGAGGACGTAAAATCGAGGTTCTACTGTAATGATGATAATTTTAATAATAATATGAATTTATTGTGCACATTTTATAATGTTTTATTATGCCTGGTCATTGGATTTGTAAAACCGACACAAAGTGCAGCATACTCCACTCTCTGGGAAGTAGTCCTTGTCAGGCTACACTGTGCACATTCCATGCCACAACATCCGCTACCAGATTCCCCCTTATACTTCTGTGTGGGGACAGTCATATATAGGTAAAATATGTAGCACAAGGACAAGCAAAATGTACAGCTTGAGGATCGAACCTTTAACATAAGGTTGAGAACCTCAATCCCAACCATTGCGCCACCTGCTTTCAATGTTGCTGTCTCACCGCAGATGTCAATTTGTACCTTTTCCCTGTCTTAAATATCATCATGCTTTGTTCTGTGTACATGTGCATTATATTTGATTTCTCAATATCCTTCAAAAAAAGCAAGTCATGTTGAACCTCAGGGTAACTTACCTTATTTTTGATTGATAAAAACATTTGATTTTTCAGTTGTAGGAATGAGTTCTATTATTCCAACCACAACCACTAAATCTAACAGGAATACATCTGAAAATGCCATCACCAAATCATCAGGGAACATTACAGAAGCAACAAAGAAAACTTTCCCAAACAATAGCAATAAGCACGGATCCCTGCGGAAGCACTTGTTCAAGACAAAATCACCTCTGACAGACAAACCACTGACCAGTGCCATCTTGCCATTGGCATTTGGACTTCTTATAACGGTTCTTTTGCTTCTACTGGTTGGCTGTCGCTTACGCCAGGTAAATCGACGTCTTCATTATGGACGTGTTCATTTTATGTATTTTATTCTTACTGTATCCTGTGATCTGAATAGTTCTAATACATTGTTCTCAAGCACCTTATTCTGGTTTTCTTAGTTCATATTTCTTATAGAATGTAAACATTCCAATTATGTTTAACATTTTTACTATATTTAACTAACTCAACTTCTTCATTTAACGGTTCTTTTGCTTCTACTGGTTGGTTGTCACTTATGCCAGGTAAATCGACGTCTTCATTATGGACATTTGAAGACCAATGTTGCTGAGGCTGGTTACCTGATAAATGGAATGTATTTGTAATTATGAAGGGAGTGATACCTTCATTGTTCATAAATTGTTAGTAAAATATTCCTCTATTGAAACATTCCTGATATGGAAAGATGTTTTTATATTCCAAGTTCTGTAGACTGTTAATTTATTATTTGTGCAGCTCATAATGGTACTTAAAATGACCAATAATAAGATATTCCTACAGTATAACAATTTTTTACTCAAAATGACAGCATACATTTCAAGAAAGTTGAAATTTTATTCTAAAACGAAAAGTGTTTATTTTATGTATTTTATTCTTACTGTATCCTGTGATCTGAATAGTTCTAATACATTGTTCTCAAGCACCTTATTCTGTTTTTCTTAGTTCATATTTCTTATAGAATGTAAACTCAACTTCTTCATTATGTTATAAATTATTTTTTCATGATAAATTTTTCAACTTTGTCTTTAAAAGAAGCAGCGGTGCTTAGCTTAATCTTAAGAAATATTTTACAATTAATTATTAGAGATGTAATACTTGTCTTAAAAAGAAGCATCGGTGCTTAGCTTATCTTCATAAATATTTTACAAATAATTATTAGATGTAATACTTGTCTTAAAAAGAAGCATCGGTGCATAGCTTATATTTATTAGATGTACAGTAATATATTTTTAAAATATTTCACCAAAAGTGTTCATTTTTCGTATCTTGTGTTGTGTGTTGACTTCAGATGTGAATACCAACGTTAATTTATAAAAATGTTACTCCATTAATATTTTTAAAGATAACAAATTTGACTTACAGCTGGTGAACACTTTGATGTTTAATTTAGACTGCACTCAAGTTCTTTTCTTATTAAAACTGTCACAAGACAAAATGTCCAGAAAATCCTCTAAAAATGCCAACATTCAAGATAAGTACAGTATTCAGGATTGAAGATTCTTTATTTGTGGCCTTTCGGAAAATCAGTTGGTACATTCATGTTTCTGGATTTTGCATAAGCACACTTTATGGTACCATAAATATACAACTCTGTGTGCTGTGGCCATCTTTTTGAAGGGAAAAGGGGAGAGGGACTCTTCATCCTTTTCAAAAAAATGTTTTGTTTTGGTCTAATTGTATGAAATGTTGTTCTTTCATATACAAAATATGATATATAGACTAAAAAGAAAATGAAAATTGATTAAATAAATTATGTACAACAATCATTTGAAATGTTATCTAAAATTATGTACAGGTAATATAGTTATGGTTATGGAAAACTACATGTAATATTATCTATGGGTAACCAACACCTGTAATTAACTAATGTTATATAGATTATAGAACGTGTATTGTATATAGAATATGGTTGTGTTATGCTATTTATTAGGGTGTCTACTTGTGCAATGGATTTTTTTTTCTTGTCAAAATATTCAGTGTTAAATCGTCTTTCTATATGCTGAACTAGTGAGTAGAAACAAAACGTTCATTTAGTAAATATGCACGCTTGTTTTATCATGAGGATATGTAATTGGAGTAAAAGATAAGAATGGATTAAATGATGGCAACAGCTTCTTTCTATTTAGCACACAGTGTAGGCTGTGACAGTTTAACGCGAAAGTGTTGTACAAGAATGACCAAGCAGAACAAAGCTAATGTAGAATCACATGCTTGCTCCACAAAACGCACACGTTTACGTATGCTGACACAATGTCGCTTTGTAGGACCTTAGCCACAATTTATTCAAGGTGTGAAAAGGTCCATTATGGATAGGCTGCACAGATGAATTCATGTTTTCTTGAATATTTTCTGTTAAGTTCAAAACATTTATAATTATGAATATTGTACTTGTATTGCTTACTTTATATGTTTAAGTAAAAATTGCATATTCAGAACAAAACATATTTTCCTTTTCTATAGAAATGAGGTGTTGGATTAAATGCACTGTTTCTTAGCATACCCTTAAATTGGCTGATTTTTGTAGTAAAAATGTCGTCATTCAGCGAAAACTAATAGTTTAGGAAGTTAATTATTGTAAGTAAGTGCGCAATTAAATATTTTATTTATTTTTTTTAAATTTTATTTTACTATTGAGACAGTGTATTTAAATAACCGTGTGTGTATAAATCATTCTTCAACATAAAGTATTATTTGTATAGATTAATCATGTTTTCTAGAATAGAAGAGGGCATTTGTATATGAAACACAATAAAGTATACTTGGTGTTACAGAGTCTGAAACTATAACTTGATTGTAAATTCGTTTTCATTATGATTCCAAACGATCGCTGATGAGGCCGATCCTTCATTGGACGATTGATGCTCCGTTTTGTCGCCATATAAATTCAAATTCAACAATTTCTTTATTTTGTCCCAAAAGGAAATTACAGTACTTGCAAAAATACATCGTAGAAAGAACTTTAAAAACACCACGAAAACAAAAATTAAGCGGTATACAGTATTAAAAGTTTTGTTGTTTCGTACGGGAAAAAAAATCGCGTCGCGGCCTGGAACCCAGGCTATATACTGTGTAAAAGTAAAGGAGGCCCTCTAATGGCCTCTTCAAATTCAGTGTTCATTATGGCTTCACACATGTGCATGTGACAAATTTTACTTCTCTTTTAATCATCGTCGCTTTCAGCTTTAAAAGTCAACATAGTGCTTGATTGTTTTATTGAATGATCAATATATATAATAAACAAGTATCTATGGAAGTTGTGTTGGAGTAAAATCCACAGTCTACGTATTTAAGAAGGTAAAAACGTCCGATTAAAAACAAAATTTGTGTGGGGTCTAGAGGGAGTGGGATAAGAATGCTTAGAAACTATTATGATTGGCACTAACTGCTAGGAGACAATTAGTTAAACAGTAGTAAAAAAAGGTGCAAAATCATGTAAATATCATCATGAATATGTGGGAGATAGCGGCCGTTTATTTCGGGAGATTCTTTCTTGCTCTCGGGGAGTGTTAGAGCCTATAAGAAGTGTTTTTGTAATGCCGCCATCAAAAACACTGACGCATTCCGAATTTCAGTCACATGGTGTTGCGTGGTAGCAACACTGAACTTATAAGAAATGTCCACTTGTTTTTTGCTGGCTGTGGAAATGTTGTCGGAATGACTTGTACTACCGCAGCGAGATAGGCCTACGTATTAATTTACAGACTGTTTGTGTTGACGTACCCGGTAACCATTTTTTAATATTGGCCTATGCATTATGGCAAGAAATGATTTTCTGTGGTTACCGTTATTTATTTTGATCTTTTTTCCTCTAATGCTGATGACGATAATTGGAATCTTCATTGTTATGCTCACTGTGTATCGTAAACGGTCGCGAGTAAAATCTCCGAATAATATATTTATGCCATCGTTAGCACTCTTCGATTTCTTAACGGGTATTATTGCAATTCCTTCCCTTATGGCTGGATATCTACATAAGGGACAATGTCCAGAAATATGGTACAGTCTGCCACCCTGTATATTTATCGGTATCTCACTGCTTAATCTTATTGTGATGACTTTTGATCGATTTCTTGCGATTAAATTCCCTCTTCGGTATCATGTGTGGATGTCGCCTGAAAGAGCAATTCGAATTATTATTATTATTGATGTTTGTGGTGTTTTTTTACGGAGGAAGTCCATTTGTTACGGTTTCCGCTGCAAGCCTTTTTGTGCCACCACCTAAAGTGACGTATGAAAACATAACGTATGAATACGACTGTGGGATTTCTGCACTTTATTGTATGTACGGCAAACCTGTTTACGACTACGTTATACTCCTCTTTTCGGGCGTAACAATTCCTATCATGTTCTTTCTATATGCATATGTTTACCTAATTGCGTCAAAGAAAGGAAAGGAGAATGCAACACGCCAGGGAAAGAAGGTTAGAAGACGAGAAATGAAAGTGACAAAAACCACAGCCATAGTACTTCTTACTTACACCCTGTGCTTTGCACCAACTACTGTCAAAAGCATTTTCTTTGCATACGTTAATAGTTTCACCTGGCGTGTGATTTACATGTGGTTTGCAAATTCACTTCTCTTTGCTAACTCGATGATGAATCCGTTAATTTATGCAGGAAGAAGTAGAGAAATGAGAAAAGAATTCAAAGAAACATTTAGGTTCATCATTTGCAAGGTTTCATCCGGACCAGTAAACGCGGAGTCAGGCACAAAGGCATTCACAAGACGACAGTCGCCTAAAGTTGATTTGGTGACAACGTCATCAGCAGACTTGGCAGCTCGTTTCACCACGTCGTTTGAAAACACTGGCGACGTTTCAGTGCAGGTATTATAGAAAAATTAGATACCATCACACACACTTATATCATAGAGAAAATTTCTCTATGCTTATATACGGTAAAGGATCAAATGCCAAGAGCATTGGTCGAAGCTCAAGAGTTTTTGCATTTTTCCACATTAAAGCAAACAATAAACAACGTGACCAGCACATTGGTCGAAGATTACCAATACGACATTGGCAAGCATATTCTCTTTTCTTCAACTGAACTTAATAATTCTTCAATTTTAGATTCACCATTGAACTCGTAATTTGTTAATGTTCATCTGTGTCTTGGGATCACAATGCAACACAAGAATACTGTTACCAGAATGTTTTCATTCTGATAAAATATGCGTATAATGAACTGTTCTGGATTATGACAAGTATCTCGGCTCAAACTTTTGGTATCTTAGGTAGACATATTAACTGTTTATTTGTGACATGCTCGTACACAAGAATGTTTAGAAATGTGGGCACGTTTTTCCGAGTACAGTTGATTCAGCTTTATATTTACAAAATTTATGGCCTCCTTAATAAAATTTTAAAATATGAATTGCTTAATGTGTAAAACGTTTGTAAACCAATGAAAATTGTGGTTTTTATTTGAACGTTTTATAAGTTTGATGACTTGAGTGTTTTTAAATTAGAAAGTCATGCCTACTTTTGGATTGCATAGGGCCTATATATTTAAAGGGGCCTAAATAGTTGTCTGGATAAAACAATATAATAAAATCACTATTATGAATCACTATATAATAATTAAAAACAAAAGCACCGTAGAGATTAAGATATGAAGGATTGTCTCAATATGATGCCAAACTTCTATTTTGGTAATTCATTATGTTGCTAAGTCAACAGTTTTTTATGTGTATTTTAATAAGCGTAGGCCTAGCCTTCAAATACCAATTTAAAATTGTTTGAAGTGCGTTTATTACTAATTGCGTTTAAAAAATTCATTTTCATTATTTTAATAACTTTGGTAATAGCCATCGGTATCACATTAAAATGTAAATTATAGCCTATAGCTGAATTGATTAGTTAGGCCTACTTAGAAATCGGTCTATGATAATACACTAGACTATTGTTAAACTTTAAACTTCAATGTTCTCATTGTATGTAACCTTGGTAAGATTACTTGTTTTTTCTCTTTTGCGGTGTACCACCACTTTCATTTATCATGATCTTTCAACATATTTTTCAATACATAGCAAATCAATATATTTCAACTCAATTTTATATACATCTGGCTCGTGTGCACTTTAAAGAACCCATTGCATCTTTTGGGAAGAGTAGGGGGTTACCCCGATGTTATGGTTCATTTCAGCCCTTGTAGTTGTGGAATGATGTGAACAGCTACCATGAAGCGCCTCTTTACGGCTGCTAGGTAGTCACGGACCACGCCCATACGCAATTCAGCGCAATGACGATCTAGTTATTGGTTATTCTCCTACCTTTACCTTTATAGTTTTTATCAACAATCTTTAGAAAGTAATAATAGTTTGATACAAAATATCACGTAATCTATAGTAAGTCTAAGCCACACGGAAGTCATAGCCAGATGAAAACAGTTAGCCTCCACTGCAATGAACAAATTATCAGTCTTTCGGATAAGAAAAGTCAAAATTAAAGAGAATATCAGACTTAAACTCCACAACTCAAGTCCAGCCAATCCCGCAATCTGTACAGCAGCAGTACCGTACATGGGAACTAAAGAAAGAAGATGAAAAACACACACATTTGGGGCCCTTCGCTCATGCAAATTGACTATGTCAACTAAGATGTGTACCACCAATGGATTGGTTTTGGAGCAGGGGTTTATTTTGACAATAAATCTTTGGATTTTTAAATTTTTTTTTGTTAGATGTTCTCAGAAGTGTTATTTGAAGAGCCGGATATTGGTTGGACTGACCATAATAATAATAATAAGCATTTCTACTTCATATGACCAAAAGAAACAGCACATTGGCAATATTTATTGAATTGATGTTTTTTATCAGATTAACCAAGTGAACAATGTCAACAATTATCCTGTACATTACTTTTATTTACTTAAGCTAAATAAAATGAAATGGATCACACGTGATTTCATAGATTTTGTACGACTCTGATCATGTTAAACACTTTATCCGACAAACACCTTTCAGTAATCGTTCACTTAAAAACAAATGCACGAATACAATTTGAAAATCCAAATCAGATTATTCTTTATCAGTTGTAAACAAATATGAACACGATCCCAAACGTTTGTAGGATGAAAAAAATAAACAAAAATTCGAACAATATTCATCCAAATCTTGATTGTAAAAATGTTAGCGACTAACTTGAGCTTGGTACCGTTAATAAACACACGATACTCGAAATACTAACAACAGTAAAATTTAATGTACATATAAATATTGTATAATACAAATAAATATTACATCTCAAAATGCGTTTACATAAAACAACAGAACCCAGGTATGAAATAGGCAATCATTAGCAGAAGCCAATAGGCCTATCCATGAATGACATGACGAAGGTCTTAAGACTGTACCAATGCCACAGCGATTTAGCCACCATGTGTATTGTAAGTATTCTCAGGAAAACCAGCGACACCGTACGTACAGGAACTGTCTCTTTATACACATCTAGATGTGTATAAGAGACAGCCTTTACTTCTCTATAGAATCGCGTTGCCAACGACCGTCAGCGAAGTGTGTGCCCCTGCTTAAGAAAGTTTCAATGTCCTATGGAATATAAAACGATCTGACAGTTTATGAATGTGATGTTAATCAATGAACAAACAATAAAATCCCTAGACCTATTTAATATCGCAAAGTCTCACTAACTTTTACCGGCCGTTTAACTTTTTTTTGTAGATTGCTACATGAAGCCGCGGAAAGCTAATGAATGATATAATAATATCGTACAGTTACTTTAGAACGAATGACAATTAAAAAGTTCAAATTGCAAGAAATCTCTCGAAAAACATGGAATGACTTAGTGCATAAAGTGATGTCGACGGATGCTTAACGAGGTCAAGACAAGCTGCAAGGTATCCCATCTTTCTTCCAAACTGCTCACCAGTCCTGAACTTAACCTATTGTGGGAAGGGAGACTGCTCCCTGGTGTGGCTCTAAAAAATAACTCTCCGTCACTACATGCCGCAATAAAACCGTCCGTAAGGAAGTTACATGATAGCAGTAGGAAAGAAATATGACCTAAATTGCTCCATACTAAATCAAATACAGAGTAATATTTATTTGCGATTACACAATAGAGTGATAAAAACGATGACATCACTGAATGCCGAAAGTCACCTTAAATTTAGTGGAAAAGCGTAGCCTATGTGTATATATTAGTAATAAAGAATTATTGATTGATTATAAGTCAATTAATTAATATTATTAACGAAAAGAACAAGAAAATAACAGGATTTATGGGATAAATAACGGTTAGCCATGAATCATATTTAGGCTTGACTAGTAAGAAATTTCCTGACCAACTGACGCTTATTTTTAATCGTCTACTTGGAAAAACGGATCTTTTTTTTGTCATGATGATGATGATGATGATGATGATGATGATGATGATGATGATGATGATGACGATGATGATGATAATAATAATTCAAAATGATGGTGGTGGGTGATGATGGTGATAGCAATAATATCTATATATTTTTATTATTATTATTATTATTATTACTATTTTTGTTGTTATTATTATTAATGATGATGATGATGAAGATGATGATGATGACCATATTGATAACAGTGATGGTGATCTTTAACAATGGTTAAAATGCGACAGTTTCTTCTTCATCCTGACCGACAGAAGTGAATGCAGACGAAAACGTTAGGGCATTTCTTCATGTTGTGGAGAAGAGATTCCACCATAGAATAAATTGCCAACTGTTTCGTTCATTTCAAATTCTCCTTCATCTCCGATCTCTTATTGTGGAGTTCCTTTTCGTGAGCATAATCAGCTAAAAAGAAAAATAAAATAGAAATGATAGATTATTAATGCAGAATTCACCATATGACTGCGGGCTCTCTACAATGAGAGGAAAACCTAAAAACACCACGTTAAAATCACTGTGCCCGTAAATTAAATGTGATACCCCAATTTGCTGTAGCTAAAAACACGCATGCACACGTACCGGAAAGTGTGACGAACGTCATTCCCCATAAGATGCTCCAGATCCAACCCACAACAACGGGGAAAGTGATTATTTGGAGAAATGCAGCTAATACGTTCCATAAGAATGCCTTGTACGGCGTTGTCTCGGTATATCCACAGCAAAAGACAGTGAATGCAGAAATGAACGTTCCTGTAAAGTGAAAGAAAAGTCGATGAGTGTGTACCTTCTAACAGCATATAGAATGTGTATTTTTTTTTTAGGGAATTAATAAATGCACTAACGTGTTTATATGGCTCATAATATGATTTTATGAGAGCCTATGTTTTTATTAGGCGTGTAGACTTAGTATAAACGTGTCTTGTAAATTGCACTTGATGCTTGTTACGGAATCGCGACGTTAACACTGTCAATTAACTTGACAGTGTTAACGTCGCGATTCCGTAACAAGCATCGTTAACACTGTCAATTAACTTGAAAATGTGTTTGTCTTGTTTTATTGTTGGTTAACGTACGTCAATAGGATAAATCTTAATGACGCAAATCGAATTATTTAGAAGATTATGAAAGTCACTTGTAATGATGATTTTACCTAAGAACGAAATACCGGTAACCTACTTGATGACTAACTGCAATTCTTTCTTTCTTTTATTGTTCTTTAAGCTGAGGGTTGGATATTCAGTATACACCACCACTACTACCACCACTACCACTACCACTACCACTACCACTACTACTACCACTACTACTACTACTACTACTACTACTACTACTACTACTACTACTACTACTACTACTACTACTACTACTACTACTACTACTACTACTACTACTACTACTACTACTACTACTACTACTACTACTACTACTACTACTACTACTACTACTACTACTACTACTACTACTACTACTACTACTACTACTACTACTACTACTACTACTACTACTACTACTACTACTACTACTACTACTACTACTACTACTACTACTACTACTACTACTACTACTACTACTACTACTACTACTACTACTACTACTACTACTACTACTACTACTACTACTACTACTACTACTACTACTACTACTACTACTACTACTACTACTACTACTACTACTACTACTACTACTACTACTACTACTACTACTACTACTACTACTACTACTACTACTACTACTACTACTACTACTACTACTACTACTACTACTACTACTACTACTACTACTACTACTACTACTACTACTACTACTACTACTACTACTACTACTACTACTACTACTACTACTACTACTACTACTACTACTACTACTACTACTACTACTACTACTACTACTACTACTACTACTACTACTACTACTACTACTACTACTACTACTACTACTACTACTACTACTACTACTACTACTACTACTACTACTACTACTACTACTACTACTACTGCTACTAATAATAATAATAATGTCATGTTATTAGACGCACGTATCTCTTGGTAGAGCTGCTCGTGGCGCCGTTTTCCATCTGCAGAGTGTAGATGTAGCCTTTTTTCTATATTATTATTTGAATTAATTAATGTCATTTAAATTATTTATTTATTTTTATGTATATTTATTTATGACAGATCTGACATAGATGGGAAAGATAGGCAAAATAAGATGCAAATACTCTTCGGGGTCACCATCCATCACCACCCTGGCGCATTCCCGAACCTCTGCCTAGGTGGCTCGAACAAAGGAACGGGAAACACATTTGCCTTGCCACAGACGACCGGTTTCAGTTTGGTCTGCCAAAACCATAGTCTTTGGTTCAACATTAGATTATGACAATAATGTACAGTATATTAAAACCGAGACTCAACAAGGGTCGGAAGAATCCACATCCGGGAGATTTGTTTAAATAACATCTAAATATATTTTGCTGTGCAGGGTGATAATTATTATGATTGGCACTAACTGCTAGGAGACAATTAGTTAAACAGTAGTAAAAAAGGTGCAAAATCATTTAAATATCATCATGAATATGTGGGAGATAGCGGCCGTTTATTTCGAGAGATTCTTGCTTGCTCTCGGGGAGTGTTAGAGCCTATAAGAAGTGTTTTTGTAAGGCCGCCATCAAAAACACTGACGCATTCCGAATTTCAGTCACATGGTGTTGCGTGGTAGCAACACTGAACTTATAAGAAATGTCCACTTGTTTTTTATTGGCTGTGGAAATGAACACTGATCTACATACTTTTCAGCCCAAACAATGCTATTTCGAATTATAGACTCACAATTCATTGAATGTGTTGTGAATGACTTGTACTACCCCAGCGAGATAGGTCTACGTATTAATTTACAGACTGTTGTGTTGACGTACCCGGTAACCATTTTTAAATATTGGGCTATGCATTATGGCAAGAAATGAAATTCTGTGGTTACCGCTATTTATTTTGATCTTTTTTCCTCTAATGCTGGTGACGATAATTGGAAACTTCATTGTTATGCTCACTGTGTATCGTAAACGGTCGCGAGTAAAATCTCCGAATAATATATTTATGTCATCGTTAGCACTCTTCGATTTCTTAACGGGTATTATTGCAATTCCTTCCCTTATGGCTGGATATCTACATAAGGGACAATGTCCAGAAATATGGTACAGTCTGCCACCCTGTATATTTATCGGTATCTCACTGCTTAATCTTAATGTGATGACTTTTGATCGATTTCTTGCGATTAAATTCCCTCTTCGGTATCATGTGTGGATGTCGCCTGAAAGAGCAATTCGAATTATTATTATTATTGATGTTTGTGGTGTTTTTTACGGAGGAAGTCCATTTGTTGCGGTTTCCGCTGCAAGCCTTTTTGTGCCACCACCTAAAGTGACGTATGAAAACATAACGTATGAATACGACTGTGGGATTTCTGCACTTTATGGTATGTACGGCAAACCTGTTTACGACTACGTTATACTCCTCTTTTCGGGCGTAACAATTCCTATCATGTTCTTTCTATATGCATATGTTTACCTAATTGCGTCAAAGAAAGGAAAGGAGAATGCAACACGCCAGGGAAAGAAGGTTAGAAGACGAGAAATGAAAGTGACAAAAACCACAGCCATAGTACTTCTTACTTACACCCTGTGCTTTGCGCCAACTACTGTCAAAAGCATTTTCTTTGCATACGTTAATAGTTTCACCTGGCGTGTGATTTACATGTGGTTTGCAAATTCACTTCTCTTTGCTAACTCGATGATGAATCCGTTAATTTATGCAGGAAGAAGTAGAGAAATGAGAAAAGAATTCAAAGAAACATTTAGGTTCATCATTTGCAAGGTTTCATCCGGACCAGTAAACGCGGAGTCAGGCACAAAGGCATTCACAAGACGACAGTCGCCTAAAGTTGATTTGGTGACAACTTCATCAGCAGACTTGGCAGCTCGTTTCACCACGTCGTTTGAAAACACTGGCGACGTTTCAGTGCAGGTATTATAGAAAAATTAGATACCATCACACACACTTATATCATAGAGAAAATTTCTCTATGCTTATATACGGTAAAGGATCAAATGCCAAGAGCATTGGTCGAAGCTCAAGAGTTTTTGCATTTTTCCACATTAAAGCAAACAATAAACAACGTGACCAGCACATTGGTCGAAGATTACCAATACGACATTGGCAAGCATACTCTCTTTTCTTCAACTGAACTTAATAATTCTTCAATTTTAGATTCACCATTGCACTCGTAATTTGTTAATGTTCATCTGTGTCTTGGGATCACAATGCAACACAAGAATACTGTTACCAGAGTGTTTTCATTCTGATAAAATATGCGTATAATGAACTGTTCTGGATTATGACAAGTATCTCGGCTCAAACTTTTGGTATCTTAGGTAGACATATTAACTGTTTATTTGTGACATGCTCGTACACAAGAATGTTTAGAAATGTGGGCACGTTTTTCCGAGTACAGTTGATTCAGCTTTATATTTACAACATTTATGGCCTCCTAAATAAAATTTTAAAATATGAATTGCTTAATGTGTAAAACGTTTGTAAACCAATGAAAATTGTGGTTTTTATCTGAACGTTTTATAAGTTTGATGACTTGAGTGTTTTTAAATTAGAAAGTCATGCCTACTTTTGGATTGCATAGGGCCTATATATTTAAAGGGGCCTAAATAGTTGTCTGGATAAAACAATATATAAAATCACTATTATGAATCACTATATAATAATTAAAAACAAAAGCACCGTAGAGATTAAGATATGAAGGATTGTCTCAATATGATGCCAAACTTCTATTTTGGTAATTCATTATGTTGCTAAGTCAACAGTTTTTTTATGTGTATTTTAATAAGCGTAGGCCTAGCCTTCAAATACCAATTTAAAATTGTTTGAAGTGCGTTTATTACTAATTGCGTTTAAAAAATTAATTTTCATTATTTTAATAACTTTGGTAATAGCCATCGGTATCACATTAAAATGTAAATTATAGCCTATAGCCGAATTGATTAGTTAGGCCTACTTAGAAATCGGTCTATGATAATACACTAGACTATTGTTAAACTTTAAACTTCAATGTTCTCATTGTATGTAACCTTGGTAAGATTACTTGTTTTTTCTCTTTTGCGGTGTACCACCACTTTCATTTATCATGATCTTTCAACATATTTTTCAATACATAGCAAATCAATATTTTCCAACTCAATTTTATATACATCTGGCTCGTGTGCACTTTAAAGAACCCATTGCATCTTTTGGGAAGGGTAGGGGGTTACCCCGATGTTATGGTTCATTTCAGCCCTTGTAGTTGTGGAATGATGTGAACTGCTATCATGAAGCGCCTCTTTACGGCTGCTAGGTTGTCACGGACCACGCCCATACGCAATTCAGCGCAATGACGATCTAGTTATTGGTTATTCTCCTACCTTTACCTTTATAGTTTTTTTCAACAATCTTAAGAAAGTAATAATAGTTTAATACAAAATATCACGTAATCTATAGTAAGTATAAGTCACACAGAAGACATAGCCAGATGAAAACAGTTAGCCTCCACTGCAATGAACATGATTATCAGTCTTTCGGATAAGAAAAGTCAAAATTAAAGAGAATATCAGACTCCACAACACAAGTCCAGCCAATCCCTCAATCTGTACAGCAGCAGTACCGTACATGGGAACTAAAGAAAGAAGATGAAGAAAAACACACACATTTGGGGCCCTTCGCTCATGCAAATTGACTATGTCAACTAAGATGTGTACCACCAATGGATTGGTTTTGGAGCAGGGGTTTATTTTGACAATAAATCTTTGGATTTTTAAAATTTTTTTTGTTAGATGTTCTCAGAAGTGTTATTTGAAGAGCCGGCTATTGGTTGGACTGACCATAATAATAATAATAAGCATTTCTACTTCATATGACCAAAAGAAACAGCACATTGGCAATATTTATTGAATTGATGTTTTTTATCAGAATAACCAAGTGAACAATGTCAACAATTATCCTGTACATTACTTTTATTTACTTAAGCTAAATAAAATGAAATGGATCACACGTGATTTCATAGATTTTGTACGACTCTGATCATGTTAAACACTTTATCCGACAAACACCTTTCAGTAATCGTTCACTTAAAAACAAATGCACGAATACAATTTGAAAATCCAAATCAGATTATTCTTTATCAGTTGTAAACAAATATGAACACGATCCCAAACGTTTGTAGGATGAAAAAAATAAACAAAAATTCGAACAATATTCATCCAAATCTTGATTGTAAAAATGTTAGCGATTATTTAATATATAGGAACAGACATTTCAAACACAATTAAAAAAGAACCAAAATACAGATAGAAATGTACAAAATATTACTTTTGTCGATAAGGAAACATTATACAAATGCACACATAAGCAAAATCACCCAACAATTTCAAAATTAAGAAAAAATTATCAAAACTTTATTAATTTAACCAAAAATAAATAGGCCTATTAATACCGCTATTGGTACCTTTGTTTTCCAGCATTTACATAGGTACACTTCATGCAACTTCCATGCTCAATTAGGGCGAGTATCTCAATGGCCATGGTATTATTACATCCATTACCATGTGCACCGTAAAATGTATTCCTTACATATTCAGTTATATACATGTTTCCACTTTACATGACACAAGGTACAAAAGATCATTACAGTAATTTAAATTAGAACATATAGACATAGACCTTTGTTAAACTAACTTGAAAAATGTCAGCACACAATTACACAATCGTACATTCAAGTAAGCTAAATCCGGGCACACACTGTATCGTATAACCATTGGGTCACGAATCCTCTGCTCTCTGTAAGCGATTGACGACGCCGTCTGCTGAGGGGATCGTCATTAAACACGATCTGTTGCCCGTGTCTCGTGTTGACTTCTCTATAGAATCGCGTTGCCAACGACCGTCAGCGAAGTGTGTGCCCCTGCTTAAGAAAGTTTCAATGTCCTATGGAATATAAAACGATCTGACAGTTTATGAATGTGATGTTAATCAATGAACAAACAATAAAAGCCCTAGACCTATTTAAATATCGCAAAGTCTCACTAACTTTTACCGGCCGTTTAACTTTTTTTGTAGATTGCTACATGAAGCCGCGGAAAGCTAATGAATGATATAATAATATCGTACAGTTACTTTAGAACGAATGACAATTAAAAAGTTCAAATTGCAAGAAATCTCTCGAAAAACATGGAATGACTTAGTGCTTAAAGTGATGTCGACGGATGCTTAACGAGGTCAAGACAAGCTGCAAGGTATCCCATCTTTCTTCCAAACTGCTCACCAGTTCTGAACTTAGCCTATTGTGGGAAGGGAGGCTGCTCCCTGGTGTGGCTCTAAAAAATAACTCTCCGTCACTAAATGCCGCAATAAAACCGTCCGTAAGGAAGTTACATGATAGCAGTAGGAAAGAAATATGACCTAAATTGCTCCATACTAAATCAAATACAGAGTAATATTTATTTGCGATTACACAATAGAGTGATAAAAACGAGGACATCACTGAATGCCGAAAGTCACCTTAAATTTATTGGAAAAGCGTAGCCTATGTGTATATATTAGTAATAAAGAATTATTGATTGATTATAAATTAATTAATTAATATTATTAACGAAAAGAACAAGAAAATAACAGGATTTATGGGATAAATAACGGTTAGCCATGAATCATATTTAGGCTTGCCTAGTAAGAAATTTCCTGACCAACTGACGCTTATTTTTAATCGTCTACTTGGAAAAACGGATCTTTTTTTTGTCATGATGATGATGATGATGATGACGATGATGATGATAATGATAATAATAATTCAAAATGATGGTGGTGGGTGATGATGGTGATAGCAATAATATCTATATATTTTTATTATTATTATTATTACTATTTTTTTTGTTATTATTATTAAGGATGATGATGATGAAGATGATGATGATAATGATGACCATATTGATAACAGTGATGGTGATCTTTAACAATGGTTAAAATGCGACAGTTTCTTCTTCATTCTTCTTCATCCTGACCGACAGAAGTGAATGCAGACGAAAACGTTAGGGCATTTCTTCATGTTTTGGAGAAGAGATTCCACCATAGAATAAATTGCCAACTGTTTCATTCATTTCAAATTCTCCTTCATCTCCGATCTCTTATTGTGGAGTTCCTTTTCGTGAGCATAATCAGCTAAAAAGAAAAATAAAATAGAGATGATAGATTATTAATGCAGAATTCACCATATGACTGCGGGCTCTCTACAATGAGAGTAAAACCTAAAAACACCACGTTAAAAATTACTGTACCCGTAAATTAAATGTGATACCCCAATTTGCTGCAGCTAAAAACATGCATGCACACGTACCGGAAAGTGTGACGAACGTCATTCCCCATAAGATGCTCCAAATCCAACCCACAACAACGGGGAAAGTGATTATTTGGAAAAATGCAGCTAACACGTTCCATAAGAATGCCTTGTATGGCGTTGTCTCGGTATATCCACAGCAAAAGACAGTGAATGCAGAAATGAACGTTCCTGTAAAGTGAAAGAAAAGTCGAATAGAATATTAGAATGTGTATTTTTTTTTTAGGGAATTAATAAATGCACTAACGTGTTTATATGGCTCATAATATGATTTTATGAGAGCCTATGTTTTTAGTAGGCGTGTAGACTTAGTATAAACGTGTCTTGTAAATTGCACTTGATGCCTGTTACGGAATCGCGACGTTAACACTGTCAATTAACTTGACAGTGTTAACGTCGCGATTCCGTAACAAGCATCGTTAACACTGTCAATTAACTTGAAAATGTGTTTGTCTTGTTTTATTGTTGGTTAACGTACGTCAATAGGATAAATCACGCAAATCGAATTATTTAGAAGATTATGAAAGTCACTTCTAATGATGATTTTACCTAAGAACGAAATACCGGTAACAACTACAACTACTACAACTACTACAACAACTACTACTAATACTAGTAGTAGCAGTTATAGCATTTGATCAAAATGAGAAATAAAAAGAAAAGATTTATGTTCAGACTTGAACTCACAAAGTGTTCTTCTATAGGGCCCAGCAAAACTTACAGATTGAAATGGTCAAATACGATTTTTTTTAATAAGTACAAACTAAACGTTCTTGCGATAAAAAAAAAAACTCGACTCTCTGATTTTACCTGCAAATACTTCAATATTTCGAAAGCTTACACTTTCAATACGAAGTGTGTCAACCGTATTTCTGGCAACAGCGCCCTCTTCACCATTTTAGGCGAAGCAAAACAAATAGGCCATATTAATTTGAGACTATGGTTGAAACTAATGTGAGTTTCAGAATGTGAACTAATCCAAGATATTAAGGCTTCGCAATTTTGCCCTAAAATTAAATTAAAAATGTTCCTTTGCCAGCATAAATAAAATATCAAAACTTGGTCGTAATAATATCTTCCTTCACTGATATAAATACCGTTACGGTATATTGGAGAGGAATCGATATCAAGAGTGGAACGAAACTAAATTCAGTACAAGAAAAGCCATCAAAAAAGTTGAAAGCACAGGGTTTTATTTCGTGACTTACTTAGAGCAGCAGCTAGTGTGTGGGTTATCTCCTTAACTGCGCCAACAACCCTGGGCATGATAGGCCCAATACTGTTTTGACGGTTACGCATATCAGTTATGTTATTCAGGGAACCTGCAACTTGTTGACCTTGGATTACATATTTTATTGGTCTGTGCGTTTACGAAGTGACTAAAAAAGTGATTCAAATGCGAATGTGTGTCTTTTATCAGAAAATGTTAATAACACTTCATCGCATCGGAATATATATTCAAAGTACAAAAAGAGTACGAACTCTAAAGGTGACCAAATATTTTTGCTCTAATTTCAGACCCTCTGTTACAAAACTCCTTAGCGATCACGCAGTTTTTCACGGTCTTGCACTTATAAGGCCTAAGCCTACAAATAATGCTTAATATATCTGATTATAACCAGACTTTCGTTTCATTTTCAAGAAAGCAATGAAAATAGTTGGACTGAAAAAGCTGTTGAACTTGATAGCTCAACAGTATGGGAATGAATGTCGAAGACCTAGAATCAGCACTAAACACGGTGATTTTCGGCAAATAGAGATCTGATTAATCTCTGTGATGTAACATAGAAAATAAAAATTAAAAACATTGTTTTTGATGCCTTTACTTTACTTTACCTACTTCTACTTCAAAGCCATGGCGAATGTACCTAAAACCATTATCTTTACATGCTTTCTCTCATACTTCTCAATAAAGAAAGGAACACGCACTCGAATCCTGTGGTACACTCGGAGTTCGTGTATTGCCATAGTAATTCAGATGTTTGCAGGCAAACATAGGCCTACCTGTATCTTGCTATAACATAAGATGTACTCTACATAAAACCTGGCTCATAGGCCTATGTAGTTCATTTCAACAATCAGGCATTTCTTTGGCTTCTAAGAAATCACATTACGGTCGAAAAGTGGGGATCTTAAACCCCCTTTAAAATATATTGAGGAGATAGGCCTAGTATTATGTTGGCCTTAACGGCAGACAATTTACAAACGCATCGGTCGATATTACAGACCACTTTATTTTTTAAGTCTGGTTTTATGTGTCGATTATTCGATTAATTAGAATGAGAGTTCAAACACATGTCCAATTCCATTTACTCCTAATTATTATAAATCAGTTCATTTGCTATACAGTTGATGCAAAATTAAGGATGGGTGATAAAGTCGTGGTAGCAATAGGCGTATCTAACGTAAAACCGCCTAAGTGACGAATTACAATGGAACAACAATAATTGAGCGTAAGTAAATATGTACAGCTTGTCAAATATTATTTCAATATCAACACAACTCGAGTACAGTAGAGTGGGGAATGGGTTTATAACACGGCGAGTTATTTATTTTCCTTATACCGACATTTTTATATTTATATGACTTTGGTGAAAACCATGTAATACTAATATACTGTAATATTTACAAATGTATAGGCCTACTAGTAGAAACTGACAGGGAGCACTAGCAACATTGGGGATGGGGGGAGGGTGAACAGAACATCATGTAGGCCCACACACATAAATCGCATGCCTACTGACCCATGGCGACTCGTGTACATCTCATGCTTACCCGGAAGTTTCATCAATGTGGATTTGGTAGAATGCCGTACCTATTCAATTTGCTTTTCAAAGGTTTCAGATAGGTCTGGTGATCCTATCTTTTAATTTAACATAGTGAATCGGTTTCACTTGTCTCAACCAATCAAAGGTCATCTCTATTTTATATGTTTTGTTAAAGCAGGTAAATTTCTTTCTGCAAACATTTTAAAACAATTTTAACACGATTCCGGCGTTTCGGTGAAAAACTGAAAAAAAATTCAATAATTCAAAGTTTTACGAAATGCTGCTGCACACAGGCCTAAGTAAGAAAATAAATGTTCATCGGTCTAATACCAATAAAATCTATAGATTTTTATAATACAGGTATTAATCATCACACGGGCATTACTGTATGTGCATAGTTTAATTTAATAATTTAAAATTGTAAATAATTCACCTGTAATGCAAATAGATGTGTGTATGTAATATTATTAAAGGAATTAACTATTGCTTGTATCACTAAATAAATGCAGAATATATAATGAAAATACTGCTTTACAGAGGTAATGCTGCTGTTGCCTCAGTGGTGTTAATCCGTACAGCTGTTACTGCTCAACTGATGCAGCTGGATGGTCTTGCGACGCTGGAGACTTGGTTCGTCGCTAAACTAGGCCTATAATGTAGACCTATTTGCCAAATTTTGTCACGGAAGCTGATACAGTAGGCTTATCCACAGGCGGAACATTTGATTTCTGGATTCTGTAGGTTCTAGTAGGCCTATTAGGCACATTACGACAGGCTCAATATTAAAAAGATTAAGCGATGTCTCAAAGAGCCAATTGAAAACCCAGACTGCAGGCCCGTATCCAGGGGGTGGGGGTTATGGTTCGGGAGAACCCCCTTTTCTAGCAAACGCCCCTCTTCAAATTTCCCAAATAAGAGTCCTCCAACCCAACTAATGCACTGCAGACCCACCCAGACACATTCGTTTTCAAACATATCTGCTTTTATAGCATTATTTAGACCAATAAAGCACAAAAATCCTCTTGCTTTGGGGGTTTCGGCGACCCCACCGGGGCTTCGACCGTGGACCTCACGACCAGACCCCCCTCCCCTTGGAAGAACCTGGCTACGGGTCTGGACTAGGAGGTAACAGTTTTGTGATTAAGTATAAATTCCTCCATGCTCTGACTTAACTTGACTTCTATCAGTCTGCTCATATGAACAGTAAAGGTAGTAATATATACCGGTAAGTCTGACCATAGCATACGGTACGTTTTGCTATATTGGTGACTCATCGTCTGCCAATTAAACCTCGTATTGCCCTGCAATGAAGTGTATTACCTAATCCAATTCCATAAACTATACTGTGCAAACAGATGGGTCTCTCATGCAATATAATAGATGTAACACATTTCAGTGATACTATAGCCTGCATTGTAGATGAAATTGAGTCGGTTAAAAATCCCAGACGCCATGTTGTATTAGGTAAGCCTATACATGCATGACTAGTTCAAGTTGGTCCTATGTGCGTTCAATTATAAGCCATTTTTCCAATGCAAATTGTTTGGAAGGAAGAAAATAATAACTGAAACGGAAATTATTGTATTTGAGTAGTAAGAGTGTAAAAATGGTGTATTGTAATACTTCCTAATAGAAAAGTAAACGTAATATTGGAAGGTTACAAAATTCGCCAACAGTAGTAGTAAGTGTACTGGCAGTCTATCGTTTAAGTATTCTAAATTAATCCTCTCTTGATATTTCTATAGAAAAATGACGTAGATCACTTCCCTCACTACTATAAGGGATAGCCCACCTTTCTACCGCAAGATATCTTAAGTGAAGAAGATGCCAGGATATTGTTCAAATGAACTCCAAACGACCAATATAGAGAACACAACACTTCCTTTCTAAAAAGAAATGTATGATAGAGTTCTCAACATTGTTGGCATCAGATGTACTAGAAAGTAAGTTTCATATTCTAATAGTGAAGCTAATCAGTGTTTACTGCTAACATTTCCTACCAGCTTAAGTAAGACTGAACTTTAGTCTAGTGCTCTCGGACACCGGCTTAAGACGTGACTACATACAATAGGAACGTAATGAACATATAATGATTTGTTAGATATACCAGGGAGTTGTTATTTAGAATAACAACTCCCTGGATATACATAAAACAACAGATACACATGATTACTGTCTCTTTGACCCATCATGCACCTCCACCGGATTTAGCATTTCCGCCATCATTAATTGCCAAATCATAACCGTCTTTGACCCCAAACAAAACCACGATGATGCCGTTTGAATGAGTCATGTCAGCTTCAAATCATGGGCTTCGTCTTCTGTCAGTTTTCAGCTCACATGTGCGCGTTCACACGACACTGTATTTTACTCGTTATTCTGCTAAATTGTGAGTTTAATTTG